TCAGTGTATAACTTGTAAATTAATGGAGTGGACCGGATAATAAAGTGAGTGCAGCTAACCCAGTACACATTTTTAAATTTAATATGATACTAAACACAAGTGAACAGTTTTCCTCCATTAAACTACTATTTGTTCAGGAGGGGCTTAGGAGCTGACGCTCAGCTCCAAGTTCATGTAGGTTAGTACTTAGGTGTGTAAACACACCCAAATCTTCATACACATACAGTCATGCATATGAATACTGTCAGCGACACCTCAAAGCAATCTTATATATCTGCCTCATTAAAGCAACCAGCGCCCCGAGCTGCTGATGTATTCCTTCAGTGGTCCCGGGCGCCCGCCAAACTACCGTGTTCTCCACCGGAAACCTCCCTTAAAAAAAATCCCAACAAGCTCATTTGGCCATTAGCGTCTAAAGATCTGAGATTACTGGCCATTACGCTTAATTAGGGGCCCCCGCGAGGTGTTTCCAGGAGGAGGTGCGCCTTTGATGTTGAGGAGGTGGGCGGGGCCCGTAACCTGCCGCCCTCTCACTGGCCCGCCCACCCCTCTCATTACCTCCGCCCACCCCTCTCATTATTCCGCCCACCTCACACCCACCAGACACGCCACACCTGTGATGGAGTAGCATAAACCGGCAGTTGAAGGTGTATGCTCCCCTAATTGTGCTGGCAGGGGTTGAGCTTCAGCTCTTTGTGCCCCCCTCGCAATCGTCATTCTACAAAATTAGATTTCTACAGTTCTACAATCTAGGTTTACAAAACTATTGAGCGACATATATATATATATATATATATATATATATATATATATATATATATATATATATATATATATATATATATATGTACGAAGTTGTGTATGGCGTCTGCCTCCACCACCTCACCTATTTCTTATTATATTCCATCTGTTCATTACTCTAAGAACAAATTATGTTCAAGAACATTGTGGTATATTTAGCCACCTTTTCGTCTGTCTTTCCTTGTTCGTATACCACCATGCTAAATAGTGTCCTTGTCTGCTCTGTCTAGTTCCATGAGATTATTTGTGTATGTTGTGATCATGTCTCCCCTTGTTGCTTCTCTCTTCCAGTGTCGTGAGGTTTAACTCCTTCGTTTATCATGGGTTACTCTTGCCTCTCAGCTCTGGGTTTTATACAATGTTTTCAAAAACAGTTCTTATAGTTGTTAACCTTTCATATGTAATTGATGATATCTGTCTCATGTGGGTGTTGTGTTGACGGGTTCGGTTTAATAACATCCCCTTTAATTCTTTCTTTCAGAATCTACGTGGGTTTCCTCTCTTATATTGTACCCTGTGTCCGGCCTCTTTTTGGTTTTCTAACACCATTCCTCGTTACTTTGCACTTGAGTTAAACTCTAGTAGACACCCACTGGGCAGGACCGTTTCCTGCCCGAAACGCTTTGCGTAATAGTGGCTTTAGGCATTGTATGTACTAGCTCTATCTATAAATTCATCAATGTTTTGTATCTCACCTTGTATGTATGTACTTTACCTGAATAAATATTTGATTTGATTTGATTAGATTTGATAACTTGAGTGTGTGCCGGAGGTTGTGTGGAGCAATCTCTTCCCCGCCTTCCTTGTACAGCCTCCTCTCAGAGCCTCCGTCACAGCACACGAGGGCAAGTGACGCTCCCGGGCCGCGGCCGCTGGCCCAGCAAACTACATATACTGGCAGCACGAGTGACTATACACCCGAATGTTCTTTATGATGAGCAATTTTCATTGGTGCTCAACTTTTCCGTCGCGAGTGATCAGCTGTTTGTGGTGTACATCCGGGGTTCCCGGATGTACACCACATGGGGTATACAGGTCGCCCCGAGCAGGTCCCTCAGCTGGTAGTACTGCCACTGGTAGGGAAGTACACCAGTACTGCCACTGGCAGGGGAAGTACACCAGTACTGCCACTGGCAGGGAAGTACACCAGTACTGCCACTGGCAGGGAAGTACACCAGTACTGCCACTGGCAGGGAAGAACACCAGTACTGCCACTGGCAGGGAAGTACACCAGTACTGCCACTGGCAGGGAAGTACACCAGTACTGCCACTGGCAGGGGAAGTACACCAGTACTGCCACTGGCAGGGAAGTACACCAGTACTGCCACTGGCAGGGAAGAACACCAGTACTGCCACTGGCAGGGAAGTACACCAGTACTGCCACTGGCAGGGGAAGTACACCAGTACTGCCACTGGCAGGGAAGTACACCAGTACTGCCACTGGCAGGGAAGTGCACCAGTACTGCCACTGGCAGGGAAGAACACCAGTACTGCCACTGGCAGGGAAGTACACCAGTACTGCCACTGGCAGGGAAGTACACCAGTACTGCCACTGGCAGGGAAGTACACCAGTACTGCCACTGGCAGGGAAGTACACCAGTACTGCCACTGGCAGGGAAGTGCACCAGTACTGCCACTGGCAGGGAAGTACACCAGTACTGCCACTGGCAGGGAAGTACACCAGTACTGCCACTGGCAGGGAAGTGCACCAGTACTGCCACTGGCAGGGAAGTACACCAGTACTGCCACTGGCAGGGAAGTGCACCAGTACTGCCACTGGCAGGGGAAGTACACCAGTACTGCCACTGGTAGGGAAGTACACCAGTACTGCCACTGGCAGGGAAGTGCACCAGTACTGCCACTGGCAGGGAAGTACACCAGTACTGCCACTGGTAGGGAAGTACACCAGTACTGCCACTGGCAGGGAAGTACACCAGTACTGCCACTGGCAGGGAAGTGCACCAGTACTGCCACTGGCAGGGAAGTACACCAGTACTGCCACTGGTAGGGAAGTACACCAGTACTGCCACTGGTAGGGAAGTGCACCAGTACTGCCACTGGCAGGGAAGTACACCAGTACTGCCACTGGCAGGGAAGTGCACCAGTACTGCCACTGGCAGGGAAGTACACCAGTACTGCCACTGGCAGGGAAGTGCACCAGTACTGCCACTGGCAGGGAAGTACACCAGTACTGCCACTGGTAGGGAAGTACACCAGTACTGCCACTGGCAGGGAAGAACACCAGTACTGCCACTGGCAGGGAAGTACACCAGTACTGCCACTGGCAGGGAAGTGCACCAGTACTGCCACTGGCAGGGAAGTACACCAGTACTGCCACTGGTAGGGAAGTACACCAGTACTGCCACTGGCAGGGAAGAACACCAGTACTGCCACTGGCAGGGAAGTACACCAGTACTGCCACTGGCAGGGAAGTGCACCAGTACTGCCACTGGCAGGGAAGTACACCAGTACTGCCACTGGTAGGGAAGTACACCAGTACTGCCACTGGTAGGGAAGTGCACCAGTACTGCCACTGGCAGGGAAGTGCACCAGTACTGCCACTGGCAGGGAAGTACACCAGTACTGCCACTGGTTGGGAAGTACACCAGTACTGCCACTGGCAGGGAAGAACACCAGTACTGCCACTGGCAGGGAAGTACACCAGTACTGCCACTGGCAGGGAAGTGCACCAGTACTGCCACTGGCAGGGAAGTACACCAGTACTGCCACTGGTAGGGAAGTGCACCAGTACTGCCACTGGCAGGGAAGTACACCAGTACTGCCACTGGCAGGGAAGTGTCACCAGGACCACACCCGGTGACACTGCCTGTGGTAGCTGGCAGTCAGTGTTGGTGAGGACTCTCAGCAACACTGTACTGTCACGCATAGTATGGGAGGGAGAGCGCCTAGCCGGTAAACTCTTAGCAGTGGGAGGGCACACACAGGGCCCCCACCATACAATCTACTCCTGTACCCTCTAATCATTATACAGAACTAAATCTAGCATTGGTCGCAATTAAGTGGCAAAAATCCAAACGTCTCTCTCTCTCTCTCTCTCTCTCTCTCTCTCTCTCTCTCTCTCTCTCTCTCTCTCTCTCTCTCTCTCTCTCTCTCTCTGTCCAACCACTTGGGCTGGACGGTAGAGCGACGGTCTCGCTTCATGCAGGTCGGCGTTCAATCCCCGACCGTCCAAGTGGTTGGACACCATTCCTTCCCCCCGTTCCATCCCATCCCAAATCCTTATCCTGACCCCCCTTCCAAGTGCTAAATATAGTCGTAATGGCTTGGCACTTTACCCTAATAAATTCCTAAATTCTCTCTGTCTCTCTCTGTCTGTCTGTCTGTCTCTCTGTCTGTCTGTCTCTCTCTCTCTCTCTGTCTCTCTCTCTCTCTCCCCCATTTCTTTCCTCTCACAAGTTACTTATTTTTGACTAAATAAACGTTTTACTCAGTATTTTATATGGTAGGCTTATATATTTATTTAAACAAATGACTCTTTGCGCGATTTCTTTTGTGTATTTCCTAAATTTAATGCGATGGAGTTATAGAGTTGAGCGCTGGCTTCTGAGCTCCCGTCTTCCTTTGGTTATGTAGTGATCAAATATTGTTGTTGTTATAGATTCAGCTACTCGGAACAAAATGTTCCAAGTAGCACGGGCTATGGTGAGCCCGTAGTGGACTTACCTGGCACAGGAGCGGGGCTGTAACCTCCGTGTAGTGATCAAAGGTTTCTAGTGTTTATGTAGCAACCCCCTCACTCCGCACGCTGAGGACAGATGCCTCCTCACGACTCCTGCAGGAGTTAGTGCGTGGCCTCTTGGTCTGTTTGTTGACGGAAATATGAAGTCCTCTAACTCTTTATTTGCTCCTTGGTGCACACGAAAGTTATTAGTGTTTCTCCCTCTTCTATTGTTTCTAAGAGAGGTAACCGCTATTATTTTAATATTCTCTATATACTGTAGTTCATTTTTCAGCTGTGATAACCACTAGGTAGTGGTGTGCTCTGGTGGTGTACTTTTTGTGCGAACACAAGCACCTTAGCCCCCCTGCTCATACATTCAGACCACCATGATCCCCCCTGCCTACATTACCCGTGTCCAAACACCCAGCCTTCCTGACCCAAAGCCAAGGTCCCAGACCCCAAGACCAGCCCCGCTAACCCCAAAACCAGCCCCTCTGACCCCAATCTTCTTGGCCAGACCCAGCGCTGCAGCACGCCGTGTACCCGTCGTCGATGAAGCTGGGACTACGGTACCACCTGCGCTCCCTGTGCGCCACGCCCCTCTGCACCGACTCCCTGGTGGTGTACCTGGCCGGCCCTGCCCTCAACGACGGCACTATTCTGCTCTGGGACGAGGACCGCAACGGCCTGGTTAGTACTACATCCTTGTTCTTCCTGCCAATGTTCAAAGGCTCTTGCATTGTTTGTCCCTTCCTACTACGTGTGCTGGGGAGGAGCACTAGTGCCAGTGTGTGTGTGTATAGTCATCTAGTTGTGTTTGCGGGGGTTGAGCTTCGGCTCTTTGGTCCCGCCTCTCAACTGAGAATAGAATGTGTATTCACTTAGTTGTGTTTGCGGTGGGATGAGCTCTGCTCTTTCGGCCTGTCTCTCAACTGTCAATGAATCAAATGTTACTACTAACTTTTTTTTTTACACACACACACACACTTGCAGAAACCACAAGTTATATGTAACCAAAGTTATATTGGTTACACATAACTTGTGGTTTATACAAGTGTGCCGTACACATGAGCCTCGCGTTTTCCTCAATAGTGACTGATTTGATTAAAACGATCGGTGATTGTTTTAGCCAATCGCACGCCATTGGCTATGGCGTGCGCTGTGTTTGATGCACCAGATCTTTCATGAGGAAGAATTCTTTGGTTTTATATATATATATATATATATATATATATATATATATATATATATATATATATATATATATATATATATACAACTTTAGAACACTTTCCCACCAGGAGACTCGAACCCTAGCCAGCACAGAAGCCTTCCAGCAACTGGCATAACAGGTACGCCTTAACCCTCTCCACCACCTGCTCAGACCCTTAAAAGAGATGGTAATTTTGGAGTATTTAAATACACCAAAGCTCACCACCTCCCAAGAGCACTAGAGCAAGTGAGGGGTCATTTAGACGTTAATTTCATCAAGTCCCTGTTAATATGGGAAGACACAGTGTCTATGCTTAAGGCACAACTCTCCTAAAGACTTCACTCTCGTGTTTAGGAGAGTTGTGCCTTAAGCATAGACACTGTGTCTTCCCATATTAACAGGGACTTGATGAAATTAACGTCTAAATGACCCCTCACTTGCTCTAGTGCTCTTGGGAGGTGGTGAGCTTTGGTGTATTTAAATACTCCAAAATTACCATCTCTTTTAAGGGTCTGAGCAGGTGGTGGAGAGGGTTAAGGCGTACCTGTTATGCCAGTTGCTGGAAGGCTTCTGTGCTGGCTAGGGTTCGAGTCTCCTGGTGGGAAAGTGTTCTAAAGTTGTATACTTCACTCTCGTGTTTAGGAGAGTTGTGCCATATATATATATATATATATATATATATATATATATATATATATATATATATATATATATATATATATATATTATTAAATATGACCGAAAAAGTAAGATTAATAATTCTAACACGAATTTTCTCAATCTTTCGTACATTACGCTTCACTGTTGGAGGTAAATCAAAAATCACTTCTCCAAAATTCATTTTTATTTCTAGTCTGACGCGACACGGGCGCGTTTCGTAAAACTTATTACATTTTCAAAGACTTCACAAATACACAACTGATTAGAACGTATCTCTGATTTTATATCTACATTTGAGTGAGGTGGGAAGGGTGATGTGGCATTAACACAAGACAGAACAGGAGGGGATATTAATAGGGTATTAAAAGTATCAACACAAGACAGAACAGAAACAATGGGTATTGAATAGTGTTTGTAGAAAGCCATTAAGGAACATATAATCTCTTCCCATAACCAAACCATCGCCAGAGAAATCCTAGTAAACAACACAGAAATCATCGATAGATACAGCGATAGCAGGCGGCTTGACGTTTGCGAGGCACTACACATCAAGAAGTCAACACCAGAAATCAACAGCCAATTATTGCACAACTATATTCTACCCACCTCAAGACTCCGCTCCAATATAGAAGCATCAAGAAATATGGACCAATAGGCTTTCTACAAACACTTCTATTCAATACCCATTGTTTCTGTTCTGTCTTGTGTTGATACTTTTAATACCCTATTAATATCCCCTCCTGTACTGTCTTGTGTTAATGCCACATCACCCTTCCCACCTCACTCAAATGTAGATATAAAATCAGAGATACGTTCTAATCAGTTGTGTATTTGTGAAGTCTTTGAAAATGTAATAAGTTTTACGAAACGCGCCCGTGTCGCGTCAGACTAGAAATAAAAATGAATTTTGGAGAAGTGATTTTTGATTTACCTCCAACAGTGAAGCGTAATGTACGAAAGATTGAGAAAATTCGTGTTAGAATTATTAATCTTACTTTTTCGGTCATATTTAATAATATATGTCTACAGGAAAGACTGCTACCAAAATATACTAATATATATATATATATATATATGTCGTACCTAATAGCCAGAACGCACTTCTCTGCCTACAATGCAAGGCCTGATTTGCCTAATAAGCCAAGTTTTCATGAATTAATTGTTTTTTTGACTACCTAACCTACCTAACCTAACCTAACCTAACTTTTTCGGCTACCTAACCTAACCTAACCTATAGAGATAGGTTAGGTTAGGTTAGGTAGGGTTGGTTAGGTTCGGTCATATATCTACGTTAATCTTAACTCCAATAAAAAAAATTGACCTCATACGTAATGAAATGGGTAGCTTTATCATTTCATAAGGAAAAAATTAGAGAAAATATATTAATTCAGAAAAACTTGGCTTATTAGGCAAATCGGGCCTTGCATAGTAGGCTGAGAACTGCATTCTGGCTACTAGGTACGACATATATATATATATATATATATATATATATATATATATATATATATATATATATATATATATATATATATATATATATATATATATATATATATACACACATACCAGAATCTTTGAAATTAATTCTTTTATTTCATATATTTTCTCTACGTCTCAAAGTGTAATGTGTTGTTATTGCAAACAAAATGTAATTCATTATTACAATTATCAATATTATTATGTTTCTTAGGTACGGGGTGGAGAGGCGTACAGCCCTCGGGAGCTGCTGAGGGACCTGCAGGAGTGTGCTGCCCGCCAGGTCACTGTCCTCGTCGACACCTCCTACGCTGGAGAGATCGTCACCGCCTTCGCCAAGTCCAAGAAACACAAGAACGTTCAGGTGAGCTTCGTCCTTCGCGGTGTTTCTTGCCAACTGATACTGCTTACATTGTGTTACATAGTTAAATTTTGTATATGCAGAACAATGTTGTTACGGCAGAGTCCCTCAATGCCTGCAACATGCGATACAGGTGGGTAATTCTTGATCATTGTTTCGCCTGCAGGTATTCGGTGCTGGGGGAAGCGATGACTACTCATGGGGGCGAGAATTCTCTTCCCATTGGTCCCACTACGCCCACACCCACTCCTGTACCGCCCACGCCCACCAGGTAACACTCGTCCCCACTTTCAACACTACTCACGATATATATATATATACGTATGAGAGCGCATACACCACCATCACAAGCATACACCATCGAATTCTCACGATGAGACAAGTGTCTATTGTATGTGGACTTTAAATTTTAACATACGAACCAATCCACACAATCTATCGAGGTCGATGTTCGGTAAACCGAGTTGGAGGAAGGTAATAAGTGGAGTTTTGTACGGTCTTGAGGACCGTACACTTCCTTATTTATGTATGACGTATCCGGGGGATATAATATAACTGAGGGAGTGAGCTCATACATGTCAACGTTTGCAGACGACACAAAACTAATGAGGCATGTAGAAACTGAGGAAGACTGCAGAATGTTACAACATAATCTTGATAAACTCCAGGGGTGGGAAATAAACAATTGGTCGCATTCAATCCAAACAAGTATAAAGTAATGAAGATGGGAAGGGAGAAAGGAGACCAGAAGGTGTCTTTACTATCTCCAGAGGCAGACATAAACAGGGTAATACTGCCAGGATATGGGATACCTTGCTGTTACCTTGCGATGATTTCGGGGCTCAACGTCCTCGCGGCGCAGTCCCCGACCAGGCCTGCTGGACTGGTCAACCAGACGGCCCAGTGAACAAATCCACAAGGGCCGTGATGAGGGCACTAACAACACTAACGGCCAGTTATGTGTAGTGGAAGCGTGTTGAACAGCTTCGGGCCTCTGATGTTGATAGAGGCCTCTCTGAGTACTCTGGGGTGCTGGCAAACATTAGAACGTTCTTTATAAACCTAAACCAAAGCTGTTTGAAGGTAATCTACAAAACCTTTGTTAGACCAATATTAGAATATGCAGCACTGGCGTGGAATGCTCCTCGTGAAGCTTAAAACAAAAATCGAAAAAGGAGAAAGGTTTGCAACAAAATTAGTACCAGAGCTAAAAAGGCTAATCTATGAGGATAGATTAAAGGAATTAGATCTCACAAACCCGGAGGAGAGAACACACAGTGGGAACATGATCGCAACATACAAAATACTGAGGGGAATTGACACGGTAGACAAGGACAGCCTCTTTAAAGTTCGAGAAAGTAGGATGAGAGGACATAAGTGGGAGCTGGAAACACAAATGAGTCGTAAAAAGTAAGAAAGTTCTCGTCCTGTGTACGAGTGGTTCACGAGTAGTTCATAGCTGCCCGGAACACTATGCCTGTTAGTGACTTTGTAAGACTTTAAGAACCATGTTATGTACTCTCTCAACCCAATGTATCTTCCTGTATAAATAAATAAATACGTGGAACACACTGAAAGAAGTTGTGGAAGTCACCTCTATCCAAACTTTAAGGCTAGACTCGACAAAGACTTCGAAAGTCACAATATTTAAATTATAACGTAACAGGTGCAGGAAGGCTAGTAGGCAGGACATAAAGATCTAGCCCTCACCAGCCCGTAGCCACAGATAGGTAAGTACTGCAAGCAGCAGCACCGGCGGAGAGAAGAAGAAGAAAAAAAAAAAACTCCAACTCTTCCCAGAAAAAGGCCAAGTGTGTTGGTGGAGGGGCCGGGAGCGAGCACCTATAATTAGGTAGAGTGACCCAGGCCGCCCTCGCCAGGGTTGAGCAACTCTGGACGCGCCTCCCGCTCACGTTTATAACTATCTGACATATCCCAATACCACCCGGGGATACGTAGCTGAAATATATACATATATATATATTTTGGGGATATATTATATACATAATCATATATGAATGCTCAATTTTAATCAACGGATTTATATATCCAGTCGGCCGAGCGGACAGCACGCTCGATGAATCTATGTCCCGGGTTCGATGTTGGGCAGTTTCTTTCACCCTATGCCCCTGTTACCTAGCAGTAAAATAGGTACCTGGGTGTTAGCTATCACGGGCTGCTTCCTGGGGTGGAGGCCTGGTGATGTTGCATCTCAACATAACCTCAAGTAACATATAACATCCAGCTGTTCGATGATCTATGTGATGTTGCGTATGCTGATCTATGTGATGTTGCGTATGATGATCTATGTGATGTTGCGTATGATGATCTATGTGATGTTGTGTATAATGATCTAGGTGGTGTTTTGTATGATGATCTATTTGATGTTGTGTATGATCTATGTGATGTGGTGTATGATGATCTATGTGATGTTGTGTATGATGTTCTGTGTGATGTTTTATATGATGGTGTGTGTGACTTTCTATGTAACGTGCTATATGATCTATGTGATGCTATGCGTGAGGTTCTATATGATGATCTATGTGATGTTCTGTGTTATGGTGTGTGATAACCTGTGACGCTCTGTACGTTCTGTGTGATGTGTGATCTGTATGGTTTGTGATGTTCTGTGTATAATTCAACTGAATTGTACACATACAAAACATGCAAAACTTTGTATGTTTTGTAATGTTCTGTGTGATGTTGAGTGTGATGCCCTCTACTCACGTAATAGTGTTGGCGGGGGTTGATAAAACCCCACACATCGAGAAATGCTGAAAAGAAACACAGTATATTTCGGTTTCCAATCAGAGACCTTCAGCAGTATTAAAGAATGAGACGTGAAATTACCTTGGTAAAGCCAGGATCCCGTCGTGAGCCTCAGGTGATATAGGTTGCACATGGCATAATTGCTGACAAGCTCAGATGTCTATCACTCTTGACGAGTTCAAATTATTGTTTATGTACATGAATGATAGACTTTTCTTTTAAGATTAAATTTTTGTAATACACAAAAGCTGAATTATGGCACTCTACTGAATGTGTTCTCACTCGCGTCTTCGAACAGAGTAGAGATTTCTTGCCAGTATCTGATAGATCTTTTGTATTCTACTATTCTAGTTTTCAAGCCCCATTTACTCTAAAAGTACTTGTGCTCCAAACAACTTTCTTACACCAGTATATATTCGTACTGACTTAATGCTCTCTTCTAATAATTAAATTACCTTACCAGTTATGTTGTTCTCCATGTCGTGCAGGCATCGCTGAGCGCTGTACGGCTCTCCACCCCCACCAGTAACGACGGCTCCAGCGGTGACCTCAGGCGGACCATCTTCGGCGCCCCCTGCAACGTGACCCCGCCCTTCACCTGGAGGGAACTCCATCACCGTTACCTGGGCTGCCAGAATACACCCACTGCTCTATGGATTCGCAGCGTACCGCCTAATTTCTCTCCGCCAGATCCTACCGATATTGCCGACGAGGTCTTCCTGCCCAGTGTTGACGTGGTGGAGTAATGAGGAGACCGCCAGACTTGGGAGTCACGCCCGCTGCTCTACACACATTGAACGTTTCCCGTGACTGTCTTGCGACATCAACGGATACTCCTTTACTTTTCAAGCGGTACATTATTTAAAAAAACAAAAGCAAACTGCTCTATACAAACCAAGCTGGTGCAATTCACGTTCTTCTAGATTCCCAACAGTTTAGGTTGGGAGTTTCGGGTGCATATAGTCAAAGATATGCAAGACGTGTTGAGCGTTCGCAGCTGGGAAGTATTTAGAATGGAACTACGAAATGCCAGCACAAGCTGTCAACTGATACTGTATTACAAAGTGAATGTATGTTGTTTTTAGTTCATTTGCACATTGGCGTTTATTCGATGCCATCCTGTCATACGTGCATCACCTAACACAATTTGTTTCAATACATTGCTGGTTTAGTGGGTTTGGATTATTTTATATAATAAAAAAGAAGCTTAAGGGGGATAGTCTAACGTCGTCAGCAAACTGGAATCCAAAGTTACTTTTTTGAGGACAGGATCACGCATCTTGCTACCTAGAGCCTACAATTCTTCTTCTTGATGGTAAGTGCAGTTTGCATAAAGGGTCTATCCTCCTGATGACTGCACGAGTACAAATGTTGGGAGACGCGTTTATGTTGAGAATGGCAAAGTTTCAAAAGTGTTTGTTATCTTGTACTGCAGATAGAGGAGCGGCGACCAAACAGAGGCGTGTGTTAGAGGGAGACTTGCTACACTGTAGGGCGGGATGTTGTGTTTATGGCGTCAGCTGATCCTTGGTGTTGCGGCGAGGCAGTTTTCTGTGTTTGGCTGCTGGGGGCGCCAGGTATAAATGGGCACAGGTCAAATGTGGCCCAATTTGTTGGTCGACTTAGATTCACAAACGCTTATGTCATAATGATTGTTTTGATGTTTAGAGTGCTGTAGTACTATATATATTTCCGCTGCAGTAAGCCCACCCAAGACTGGTAATGTAATAATTGTTTACCTTTTTATCACCACTTCAGGTTCGGACTAATATACCTAATGCATCATTATATAAAGACATACGAAGCACAAAATAAATTGCCTTGCCAATTTATTATAATGACATTACAAATCTTCTTTACTCATTGTCTTGGGTGTCAGCGACACACAAAACAGCGTAGCTTACCTTCATCACAATTTGTAATACATTATTTGTGTTTCATATACATGTTAAAATAACTATCCTTTACACATCATACTTTGTATATATCTTCAGTTCAGGCAACATACATGACTATACCGTGTAAATATTTAGCATAGGAACATTTTATTGGCATATCTTCTGTACAGTCCCATATTATATATATATATATATATATATATATATATATATATATATATATGTCGTACCTAGTAGCCAGAACGCACTTCTCAGCCTACTATGCAAGGCCCGATTTGCCTAATAAGCCAAGTTTTCCTGAATTAATATATTTTCTCTAATTTTTTTCTTATCAAATGATAAAGTTACCCATTTCATTATGTATGAGGTCAAAAAAATTTTTATTGGAGTTAAAATTAACGAAGATATATGACTGAACCTAACCAACCCTACCTAACCTAACCTAACCTATCTTTATAGGTTAGGTTAGGTTAGGTAGCCGAGAAATGTTAGGTTAGGTTAGGTTAGGTAGGTTAGGTTGTCGAAAAAACAATTAATTCATGAAAACTTGGCTTATTAGGCAAATCGGGCCTTGCATAGTAGGCTGAGAAGTGCGTTCTGGCTACTAGGTACGACATATATATATATATATATATAGACATATGTCGTACCTAGTAGCCAGAACGCACTTCTCAGCCTACTATGCAAGGCCCGATTTGCCTAATAAGCCAAGTTTTCCTGAATTAATATATTTTCTCTAATTTTTTTCTTATGAAATGATAAAGCTACCCATTTCATTATGTATGATGTAAAAAAATTTTTATTGGAGTTAGAATTAACGTAGATATATGACCAAACCTAACCAACCCTACCTAACCTAACCTATATCTTTATAGGTTAGGTTAGGCTAGGTAGCCGAAAAAGTTAAGTTAGGTTAGGTAGTCGAAAAACAAGAAAAACAAGTTAGGTAGCTTTATCATTTCATAAGAAAAAAATTATAGAAAATATATTAATTCAGGAAAACTTGGCTTATTAGGCAAATCGGGCCTTGCATAGTAGGCTGAGAAGTGCGTTCTGGCTACTAGGTACGACATATATATATATATATATATATATATATATATATATATATATATATATATATATATATATATATATATATATATATATATATATATATATATATATATATATAGTACCTCGGAGAAGAAAATAGACTACTCAGCCTACTATGAAGACCTTTTGGAGGATCCAAGTTGACCTGAATTTATATTTTCTCTACCCCTTTCTTTTGGTATGATGTGTATATATTTTAACTATTATGAAAATTTTTTTATTGGAGTTAAAATTAACGTAGATATATGACAACAACTGGTTACATGACCTAACCTAAAGGCTACTTGTATATAAGTTGTATAGTTAGCCAAAAAAAGCTAGGTCAGGTTAGGCGGGCAGGAAGGTAGGACGAAAAATGGATATTAATTCATGAAAACTTGGCTTATTAGGCAAATCGGGCCTTGCATAGTAGGCTGAGAAGTATCTGGCTACTAGGTACGACATATATATATATATATATATATATATATATATATATATATATATATATATATATATATGTCGTACCTAGTAGCCAGAATGCACTTCTATGCCTACTATGCAAGGCCCGATTTGCCTAATAAGCCAAGTTTTCATGAATTAATTGTTTTTCGATACCTAACCTAGTTAACCTAACCTAACGTTTTCGGCTACCTAACCTAACCTAACCTATAAAGATAGGTTAGGTAGAGGTTAGGTAGGGTTGGTTAGGTTCGGTCATATATCTACGTTAATTTTAACTCCAATAAAAAAAAGGTTATACATATGGTTAGGTAGCTTTATCATTTCTTAAGAAAAAAATTAGAGAAAAAACCATTAATTCAGGAAAATTTAGCTTATTAGGCAAATCGGGCCTTGCATAGTAGGCTGAGAAGTGCGTTCTGGCTACTAGGTACGACATATATATATATATATATATATATATATATATATATATATATATATATATATATATATATATATATATATATATATATATATATTATATAGGCTAGCCTCGGAGAAGAAAATAGAGTACTCAGAGAAGACCTTGTGGAGGATCCTCACTAAACACTTTGATATTTTCTTCTTACACCCCTATTCTTTTGGTATGTGTGTATATATATCTAACTATTTGAAAATGTCATTACACAAAAAGGGTTACAACACTGGTTACATGAAGGGTACAAGGCTACTTGTCATAAGTTGTATAGTTCCTCCAGCTCCTCAGATGGCGGGCAGGAATCATGGATGCAGTGATGGATATATATGGATATTATATATATATATATATATATATATATATATATATATATATATATATATATATATATATATATATATATATATATAATAAAACATGTATTATATATGTTTACTGTGGCTGGAAATACAAAAATAAGGGTTAATGAACCCCCAAACAAAAATGGTTTTGATAATTATATATAAGACAAAAAACAACAACCTTTAAATTTACCTAAGACATAGTATAATACATACACATACTAACTTAGGGCTGGATTTAGATTTAGGTCAAGAATTACTTATTTATATCTAGGCCAGGTTAGGTTTACGGTCACTGTTTCAGTTTTTGCTAGGCCTTTAGAATTCCAATTGTACAGAACTTAAGCTTTTGGGATACAACAGTCCATAGTTTGTACATTCCACCTACAGTAGCTAATAACTTCTACCATTTCTGGTGGTTCAATCCCCGACCCTCCAAGTGTTTGGGCACCATTCATTCCCCCGTCCTATCCCAAATCCTTATCCAGACCCCTTCCCTTCCTCGATATATGTAAATATATGTAAATTGATTTACGTAAATTTAGGGTCTCGGTAGTAATCTGGTTCGTCCTTGACTTACAATTGAGAATTCCGGGTTCGAATCCCGGACGGGACAAACGGGCGCATTTCTTATCACCTAATGCCCCTGCCCACCTAGCTGTATATGGGTACCCAGGAGTAATTCAGCTTGTTGTGGGATTGCATCCTGGGGAGGGTCAGTAATTCTATCCTGGGAAGGGGGGGGGGGGAAGGGACGTGGATACAAGCCTAACATGTATTGTATGACAGTGTCAGACCACGGAGGAAGAATTGAAACAGGAATTTCCTGTTTTGATACAGTTTTCCTATTGATACATCCTAGGAAGGAAGGGAAGGGAAAGGAAGGAAGGAAGGGGAGGGAGGGAAGGAGGAAGGGAGGAAGGAAGGATGGATGGAAGAAAGGAAAGGGAAGGAAGGAAGGGAGGAAGGGAGGAAGGAAGGGAGGGAGGAAGGGAGGGAGGGAGGGAGGGAGGGAGGGAGGGAGGGAGGGAGGAAGGAAGGAAGGAAGGAAGGAAGGAAGGAAGGAAGGAAGGAAGGAAGGAAGGAAGGAAGGAAGGAAGGAAGGAAGGAAGGAAGGAAGGAAGGAAGGAAGGAAGGAAGGAAGGAAGGAAAGAAAGAAAGGGATTCCTTCCTTCTGAAGATGTATTAATATACGAAAGTACTAAGGAAATTCCTTTCAATTCGTCCTCCGTGGTCTGTCACTCACATTTTTCATCACGTGTTAATTTTCGTGATTTACACACATGTATGTAAACTGTCTGCTTGACCTCCGACACAATGAATTATAGTATCATATAAATAAGTTTAAGTAGGCAGAATGTTTTCTTGACGTATCATTTGTGATAATACGTTTCCATAATTATGAGTTTGTTTCAAATTGCACCACGTACGTAAATTACTTACCAGTTATGTTGTTATATATACCTTACCAGTTATATACTTTATTATTTATATGGGCTGACGAACAACCTAAAATGGTCCGGAATATAGCGTATATAACCAACAATAACCATAATGAATCTCGGTGAATTACTCCATCATTTCAGAGTACACTGATAACTGTGCTCTTACAGCGTTAAACCCTACCTTCACCGGCTACTTTCTTAGCCAAAGCACACCTTCACCGGCTACTTTCTTAGCCAAAGCACACCTTCACCGGCTACTTTCTTAGCCAAAGCACACCTTCACCGGCTACTTTCTTAGCCAAAGCACACCTTCACCGGCTACTTTCTTAGCCAAAGCACACCTTCACCGGCTACTTTCTTAGCCAAAGCACACCTTCACCGGCTACTTTCTTAGCCAAAGCACACCTTCACCGGCTACTTTCTTAGCCAAAGCACACCTTCACCGGCTACTTTCTTAGCCAAAGCACACCTTCACCGGCTACTTTCTTAGCCAAAGCACACCTTCACCGGCTACTTTCTTAGCCAAAGCACACCTTCACCGGCTACTTTCTTAGCCAAAGCACACCTTCACCGGCTACTTTCTTAGCCAAAGCACACCTTCACCGGCTACTTTCTTAGCCAAAGCACACCTTCACCGGCTACTTTCTTAGCCAAAGCACACCTTCACCGGCTACTTAGCCAAAGCACAATATTTGGTTCAGACTTGGTAACGCAGGATAACAGAGGCTGGGAAGGTTCAAATGACAAATAATTTTTGTTACTGTATTACTTTTCAGTTACCCCAAGCCATTCATTTGATGGTAGAATTAATGTTTTGATATACTGTATATATAAAATTACATTAAGTCCAAGGTGAACATTATTTAAATACCTATGTATTTCATAATTATTGTCCTTATCCTTTAGACAATTGTTTTCCAGCCTTAGTCAAGTGTGAATAAAATTATCTTTATAAAACTGCTATACAGTTGTGTAACCATCTAAGTAAACACTGCTAATTTTGCTAACGTAAGACTTGTGTTCAACAAGGTGACTAAAAATATAAAAATTCCGGCGCTGCCACTGTAAGGGAGGTAAATGCAACCACAGCAAGATGGAATACTTCCAATTATGGCCTTAATACTACTACTACTGGCATTTGGCATTTATACTTGTCCTCTCTATGGGAAACAAACTATATTACTTTTATATTTCTGCTGATTTTTAACAGCGGTCACTAATACTACAGGCATTTGGCTTGAGCCTGTAGACAGACAATTTCAGACCACAAACTAAAGCAATAAGAAATGTTAAGAGGTTCTGGGGGAAGTTGCAGAGGCCACACCTGTAGATATATTCAATACCAACATGGTGCAGTAATAGTGCCCACTAGTAAAGATCTTCTGGACCTAAAGGCTAAAAATATGCCTGCACTGCATACTACCAACTAATAAGTACAGTATTTCTAACCTGAAAGGATAGTCAGAAAAATTAGTTCTTAGATTGCTAACAAATCTCATTAGCTGCACTTTTTGCATAAAAAGTTGTTAAAGTAAACAATAGCACAAATTTAAAAAAAGCAGAAACAGGATTCAAATATTACATTTGCAACCAACACAATTTGACCACTACACAAGTATATGCGCAGGCTTCCACCAATACAAGGTATTCTGATGCAAAAAGAAGCATCTTAAATACCGTATTCATGATAATAATGGCAAGTACTCTACTGACAAGTATAATGTCACAAATCATGAGCAAATGTAGTACTCGTTTCAATTTGATTTTCAGTCCAAACAATATATCTACAAAGGTAAATTCTCTGATCAACGCAAGGGCATTCTCCAAAGATACAAAAACCTTTTTGGGAAACCTAAAGACGCAGAACAAATAGCCAACAAATTAGAAATGTTTGAACTGCTTGCACTGGATACCATTTCCAAACTGGATTGGTAATACATTTGCTACTGTAATGAGGCAGCATGTTTTATCAACCTGAGCAGTGTAAACAAACTAAGTGGTAATAAATAGTGGCTTAGCCACTATTATCCATCTTCATAAAATCCTTGCTGAAGATTTCCAGAATATTCAACATCCCCTTCCTTTCCAAATCATTTGGTTACCAAACTGAAACCATAACTACCGATTTGAAATGTGGTTTCAGGTCAGCACAATCAAAATTTATAAATAACAGGAGTCAAAACGGTTAGACCACGTTTGGAGTCGACGTAAGTTATATTGTAGTGTTTGAATTATAACATACAAAATGTGATCCATCTAGTAACTCCTCTATTACGAGAATGCTCGAATTTAAGGTTGGTTTCATTAAAGAAATTTCTCTTTTTTTTTTCTTCTGCACAGCAGTTAAAGCGTGAAGCATGGCAGGCGAAAAAGGGGATACAGACAACGAAGTTAGAGGGATGGATTCAAGCCAGTTTGTGAAGTCGACATCAAAACAAAATACTGTATGTTCATAAGCAGGACTTCCATGCTTCGGTCACCTACCACACTAGCCTTGGGTAAAGAGGTAGCCAAATTCATTATAAAATTACCAGTCTTCACATCCCCACACCATGAAACCAAAGTTGGACAGATACAGAATCCATAACCCCAGGAACAGCACACAGGTCACCGTAGAGAAGATACCAACACACCAGCTATTATGCATGCAGACGCATTTATGTCCACTTTACTTTCCAGCCAATATATATTAAAGCTCCATTGAACCTCCCGTTCTAACTGTAGCACCTACCAGTATTGTTGCCTGGGCCAACAACTTGCAGAAAAAGGGTAGCAGTAATGTGTCTATGCATAGCAACATGGGTTATAATACCGCAGGGCAAAGTTTTACATGTCAAGCTAGACAAAGTACTGCCAGCCACAGCAATAGTCTAGCAACCTATATAACTCAGATTTGTATTCCTACCAAGGAAGTTTGTCCAATTCAGCATCGACTGGTACTCAGACTACTGAATAACTCATCACCAACTTGAGAATCTTCAATTTATATTAATTTGGTTAATTTAAATGAAAGAACATTGTGCTTTATGACAGCATGTTCCTATATGCTTGCCTACAGGATGCAATTCAATAATGTTACATTAAGAAGGTTCTGAGTACAGTACCATTTATTAAGGTTAGAAAAAAATATATATATGATGAAATTTATTTTAGCAATAGAACTACAGACGCCTACCACGGCGACCTCCCTTCCTGCGTGTACTGTCAGAGGGCACTGGAGTAACATCCTGCAAAAAATTAAAAACATGTTACAATAAGATGATAAGGAGTGCAAATGGGCAAATTTAAGGCGAGGGTGACATTAGGAGGTAATTGATATGGTTGTGTGTGCATGCACTTAATGGAAATTGCATAAATGTGGGATTTTTTTTAAATAAAGGGATGGGTAATTTGGAGAATGGGTTGATTGGTTGGGGGATGGACTATTTATGTTTACAGAACAGGGTAACTATTTGTGCAAGAGATAATGAGGTTGTATTTGCCACTGTTTAACTAATACAGAAATAAATATGTGCAAATACCGTACACGTTACAGGGTGGCTGCAGGGCGTAAAGACTGAAGATGATGGATATATTTTAGAATGAAATGAATAAATGTGAATCTGCAAGCTAGAAGTTATTAATTTAAAAGCTCAGTCTACTAAAGTACTGTGCTTGCTCTGGTACTTTTTCTCATCCCCATATATCCTCATATTAGACTTATACAAGGATATAAACTGCAGAAAACACTAGGATTTTCACAAGTAGACATTTTCAGAAGTAGACACAGCAAACCTCCAACCTGATGTTAATCAGGTCTTTCAATGGGCCACAGAAAATAACAAAGCACATACAAGACACATTTAAACCCACATAATTGAAAGACAAGCCACATAAAAGATTTGAGAGTAATCATGTCAGAAGATCTTACTTTTAAAGAACCCAATAAAAGTAGCTGTTACAACAAGAAAAATTACAGATTGGATAACAAGAACCCTGCAAACAGATATCATACCAAATGATGATACTGTACTTCAAGTCAATAGTGTTCTCTAGAGTGGAATATTGTTGCACACTAACAGCCCCATTCAAAACTGGAGAAATTACCGACCTGCAGAATGTGCGAAGGTCTATACTGTCAGAATTCACTCAAAACATCTAAATTATTGGGACCTCTTAAAAATTGTAAATCTATTCTCCAGAGTGCAGGTGAGATACATAGTAACTTAAATTTGGAAAATATTAAGACACACTGTTCCAAACCTGCACACAGAAATAACTCCACATTAAACTAATAGGCATGGCAGGGTGTGCAAAATAGTCCCATTGAAAAGCAGAGGGGCATAGGTACACTGAAAGAACTCATCAACATCAGGGGGCCCAAAGACTTCAAAACTCTCTACACAGAAGGCACAACTCAAAAGTGTTCAAGAGAGAACTTTAATAAACACCTCCTAAGGATACCTGATCAACTAGACTGTAGTTCATGTATCATACTATGAGCAGCTGTATCCAACAGCCTGGTTGACCAGACCACCAATCAGGTCTGGCCAGAGACCGAGACCACAGAAACCAACAACAGGCAGGTCTTCAAATAATAATCAGATTGGTGTCTAAGGGTGGTAACAGATGATTACTAACATTAGACAGCAATTAAGTTAATGTATAATAAAAAGATACACAGAGGAACTGGATGGAACAAAAGCAAAAGGACCAGACCAGTTATCACCAATGTTACTGAAGAATGTTGTAAGGACCTTACATTGCCCATTAACTATTGTCCAACATTACACTTAAATCTGGAAAACGGGAACTGTAGAAATGGAGATATGATAACTATATATAAGGTAATTGATATAGTGGATAAAAATTAAGAGGTAGGAGGAGAGGAACATCTGAGGAAGCTGGACATGCAATCGAGTCTAAGAAATGTAATGAAGTTCTCGTTCCCTGTACTAGTAATCGGGAAGTGAAATGCACTGAAGAGGAGGTTGAAGCCAATTCCATCACCAACTTTAAAGAGAAATGTGATGAAAATATTAATAACAGACACACAATTAGCATAACAGGTATAAAATGGCTAGGAGACAGCGTATCTCAATGATAGTAAAATATAGCTGCATAATAATTGCCCCATTCAAAGCTGGAGAAATGGCTGACCTTGAGAGCATGCAAAGAGCCTATACTCCTTTAGTCCATATCTAATTAAACGTAAGACAAAAAGAAGATTCAGAGGTATGCCACATGACTAGTCCCAGAACCCGAGAGGTATGAGCTACGAGATAAGGCCATGGGAGCTTAACCACATACAAAATTCTCAGGGGTGGACGAAGACAAACTATTTAACATGGGTGGAACACAAACAAGTGGGGACAAGTGGAAACTTAGTACCCAAATGAGCCTGACACATTATAATTTTTTTGTGTCAGTAGTTAAGAAATGGAATGCATTAGGCAGTGATGTGGTGAAGGAATACTCCATACACAGTTTAAAATGTAAAAGAGCCCAATAGGCTCCAGAATCTGTACACCAGCTGATTGACAATTGAGAAGCGAGACCAAAGAGCCAAAGGTCAACCCCCGCAAGCACAACTAGGCGAGTACTAGAATCCACTCGGTAAATCATCTAAGGCATTGGGACTAATTTTTTTAATATGAATTCTCTATCTCGAGGTTATCTTGAGATGATTTCAGGGCTAAGCGTCCCTGCGGCCCAGTCCTCGACCAGGCCTCCTTTTTGTTACACACCCCCAGGAAGCAGCCCACAGCAGCTGTCTAACTTACAGGTACCTGTTTACTGGTAGGTAACAGGGGCATCAGAGTGAAAAACTCTGCCAATTTGTTTTCACCTCCACCGAGGATCGAACCCGGAACCTCAAAACTATGAATCCGAAGCGCTGTCCACTCGGCTGTCAGGCCCTTCCAGAGCAAAGGCACGAAAGAAACATAATTTATACTTTGAAAATATTTGAGGGACTGGTTCCAAATATGAACACGGAAATAACATCACACGAGATAATGAGGCATGACAGGATGTGCAGAATAGCCCCATTAAAGAGGGGGCAACAGGTATGCCGAGAGAGAAGTTCATCATCAAAGGCCAAAAACTTTTTAACACTACACATAAGGGGTATAACTGGCTAACCACTCACAGCATTCAAGAGTACTGGATAGACACCTCTAAAGGATACCTGATCAATCAGGCGGTGATTCATACATCAAGCTACAAGCAGCCATGTCTAACAGCCTGGTTGACCAGACCACTACCAGCAGGACTGGTCAGAACCAGAGTGTGGGGACATTGATCCTCAGAATCTCCAAAAGGTAATCATTAAAACTATAATAATTAAACCAACTCCTTGCCAATAAAAAATGACAAAAAAGAAATGATTGCAAAATTACAATAGTGCAAGCAATGCCTTTCAAATCGAAATGAAGTACTGTACAGTACTTAGCATACTTAGAATAAGCCATTTAAACTAATGTAATTGTCAACTCTTATTAATACATACCTCAATGCGACCAATCTTCATGCCAGCACGGGCTAAAGCTCGTAATGCAGACTGCCCTCCAGGTCCCGGAGTCTTTGTCTTGTTGCCACCAGTGGCACGGATCTTAATGTGCAAGCAATTGATACCCAGGGATTTACATTTCTCTGCAACATCCTGGTTAAAAATAATAATAACAACTTATATAAACAACTTACATAAAATACAAGCCTTATGTAGGAATTAATTTCATTAAATGACATGTGAACTACAATAAACACTGGGAAATTGATATAAGAAACACTAAAATCAAGATTAGACAATGCTGTGTCAATTGCCAAGATGTAATATTACATATACCATAGTCCAGGTACTCCATTGCAAAACTAAACATAACACACTGCAATTTAAGAGATAAACAAGCACAGCTCACTACAGGTTGCACTGTCCAAACTAACCTTATTGTTTCCAGAAAAACATTACTGGTGTTCAGGTTTAAATAGTTTAATAAATTTCTTGTCTTCACATAAATCAGTACCTAAAATTGGCAGTGGGTTTATTAAAATGCTAGGCTGGATACAGCTAAATATAATAAATTACCTGAGCAGCCAACATAGCAGCATAAGGCGAAGACTCGTCACGATCTGCCTTCACTTTCTGTCCTCCAGTGATGCGGACAATGGTTTCACGGCCAGACAGATCAGTCACGTGTACAAATGTGTCGTTGTAGCTGGCATAAATGTGACACACAGCAAATACTTTTTCCCCATCAAGCACTTGTGGGCCAAGCTGGACTTGCACCTCCTCCTTCTGAACTTTTCCTTTACGGGGAGCCATGTTTTACCTGCAACGTGCATCAAAATTAACTTATAGGCTGAACTACATCTTTGTTCTGGTTAGTAATATTTCATGATCTTTTCATCAAGAATTCATAATGGTTTAATTGGGAATAAATCAATATCCAGCTTTTTATCTTGAGTGTACATTTGTAACTATTGCACTGATTACCATTCATGCCATGGTCATTCCATGCCAAATCATCACAGTTCCCAACCCAACCAAATCTCTGATTTATATGAAATTTGGTAGGGTGTCGAGAGTACATGAAGTAACATACATATTCAAAATGAGGTACCTCAGATTAACGAATGATGTACCGTCAAGAACAATGATTCATTATCCAAATGAAAAAGGCTTCTAGAGATTTGAAAGGAACGTAAAACTTTCATCCTCCTGGCAGCCATTTGTAATGAGTGGATGACAGCAAACCATTGCACCCTGGTAGCTTGTGGCAGCAACAAAAAATACCACATCTAGAAATACAAGTTTCACATCACATATAGCAAATACGCCTAAAATATAAACAACGAAACACCTGATCTCAGAGGAGGTAAAGTAGGGGTACAAAAACCTAGTTAAAATATCGTTCAATAAATGTACGATGAAACACTAATATAGTTTTATTTTTTCTTTGCAAAACATCAGTGTAAAAGAGGGAGAGTCTGATGCAAGGGAGTGTATTTCACACCAACAAAAATGGGAACTCAAAAATAGTAATGGTAACAAAAATTCACAAAGGGAAGGAGGGTATGAAAATCCCCTTCCCTAGAGTAACAAGCCCCTGCCCAGAGGACACAAGTGCCCAAGCAGGGTCAAAAGGAGCACAAGAGCTCCAGGTAACCCCCCCCCCCGAACCTCGGGAACCCCCGATAAAGCCCCGGGGCAGAGCCATCATCCACACCTACCATTTTTTTTTAATAAAAGGCAGTCCAGAGGAAAGGCTTCAAAGGGAGTCTGCTGGGTCAATCCAGAAGCACCGGCGGGAAAATTGGGCTCAACCACCTCCGCGTCCGAATTGGAAGGGGCAGCCCCCAAAGCCACCCGAGCTAAACCCCCCCTCAGACTCTGAAACCCTCAGAGAGCCAGAAGCAACTGGGGGGAAAAAGAAAGGAAGGAAGAGGGGATGCGGACTGAACCAAGGCTGAAGCGACCAACTCCCCCCAAATCAAGTCACTAACCCCACAAGTGAAGCAACTCCGGGGCCTCCAACCTGGCCCGTTGCAAGGAGAATTGAACATGCAACGTGGTCATTGCTTGATTCCCAAGATCATCAAATAAGGGATGAGTAAATTGAAGCACAAGTGACCAGCAAGACCCGACCTTAATTTTCGATGTACGTATTTCATTTTTGTAGTAATATGTTCGCAATAATGTTCTAGAAGAACATACACATAAAATGTCACCAAAGCATGAGTTAGACCAGCTCCAAATAAAAAACTACGTCGATCACTAGCCGTGAGCGCCAAACAGTGACGAAATGTTTCTACTCTTTTTTCAGGGTTGTCAACTCCACACTTGTCCTACAGTGTTAAATTTGGTATCACTGAGATCGCAATAAAATTCCCTACGCGGACATATGCATATAAATGTAGAATCACAATCGCAGCCCACCTGCAAGAGTGTGGGAAGAGGCTGAAATGTTACCTGTTACCGCACACCTGACGGCACATCAGCGAGACCTATTGAAAAGTGTATAAAGTGTATACTCTTTTCACTGTTCTGATCTTAATTTTCGATGTACGTATTTATTTTTTTGTAGCAATGTGTTCGCAATAGAATGTTCTAGAAGAACATAAGTATAAAATGTCACACAAGGATGCGTTAGACCGGCACCAAATAAAAAAACTACATTGATCACTAACCGTGAGAGCCAAACAGATTTTTTGGAGGATAGTACACCTTGAAAGAGTCGGCCACGCCATGTCATCGCCTAATGGGGAGAACGGGAATTTCATGGTGCGCATTTTGAAACTATCCACAGGTCGATCGGATAAAAAATGGATTTTATAGAAATATTTTTTCTCGTGACTCTTGAGCGAGACATTTACGCAGATTCATGAGAAAAATTGTCGCCGGTCTCAAGAGACATCGGTGTACAAAAGTATTAAATTAATTTAAAGTCAGAGGTGACATCTGACCGACAGCACATCAATGCTGTCGGTCAGCAGCCCACATCTTTGGAGTGGTGGGCTGCTGACTCCCCCTTCCCCTGGTGGTGGTGTGTACTCACCTAGTTGTGCTTGCGGGGGTTGAGCTCTGGCTCTTTGGTCCCGCCTCTCAACCGTCAATCAACAGATGTACAGGTTCCTGAGCCTATTGGGCTCTATCATATCTACACTTGAAACTGTGTATGGAGTCAGCCTCCACCACATTGCTTCCTAATGCATTCCATTTGTCAACCACTCTGACACTAAAAAAGTTCTTTCTAATATCTCTGTGGCTCATTTGGGCACTCAGTTTCCACCTGTGTCCCCTAGTGCGTGTGCCCCTTGTGTTAAATAGCCTATCTTTATCAACCCTGTCGATTCCCTTGAGAATCTTGAATGTGGTGATCATGTCCCCCCTAACTCTTCTGTCTTCCAACGAAGTGAGGTTCAATTCCCGTAGTCTCTCCTCGTAGCTCATACCTCTCAGCTCGGGTACTAGTCTGGTGGCAAACCTTTGAACTTTTTCCAGTTTAGTCTTATGCTTGACTAGATATGGACTCCATGCTGGAGCCGCATACTCCAGGATTGGTCTGACATATGTGGTATATAATGTTCTGAAAGATTCCTTACACAAGTTTCTAAAGGCCGTTCTTATGTTAGTCAACCTGGCATATGCTGCTGATGTTATCCTCTTGATATGAGCTTCAGGGGACAGGTCTGGCGTGATATCAACCCCCAGGTCTTTCTCTCTCTCTGACTCTTGAAGTATTTCATCTCCCAAGTGATACCTTGTATCTGGTCTCCTGCTTCCTACCCCTATCTTCATTACATTACATTTGCTTGGGTTAAACTCTAACATCCATTTGTTCGACACACATTTGTGTGTGTGTGTGTGTGTGTGTGTGTGTGTGTGTGGGGGGGGGGGAACAGGGCTAATGAGTGGGAGGGCTATTTGCATGAAGTGTTGCTTGTTTCTGGAAGAGCTCTTTTGCTCTTTCAGGACATAGGTCGTAATTTTCAGACTGTGGCCTGTTTGGACATCTTCTTGATACCTGGTTGATACCTGGTTGATGGGGTTCTGGGAGTTCTTCTACTCCCCAAGCCCGGCCCGAGGCCAGGCTCGACTTGTGAGAGTTTGGTCCACCAGGCTGTTGCTTGGAGCGGCCCGCAGGGCCACGTACCCACCACAGCCCGGCTGATCCGGAACTTCTCTTAGAAAACCGTCCAGTTTTCTCTTGAAGATGTCCACGGTTGTTCCGGCAATATTTCTTATGCTCGCTGGGAGGACGTTGAACAACCGCGGACCCCTGATGTTTATACAGTGCTCTCTGATTGTGCCTATGACACCTCTGCTCTTCACAGGTTCAATCTTGCATTTTCTTCCATATCGTTCACTCCAGTACGTTGTTATTTTACTGTGTAGATTTGGGACCTGACCCTCCAGTATTTTCCAGGTGTATATTATTTGGTATCTCTCTCGTCTCCTTTCTAGAGAGTACATTTGGAGAGCTTTGAGACGATCCCAATAATTTAGGTGTCTATGCAAGAGGAAACTAGATTTATTCCTCCAAGGAGTGCCGGACCAACCGGGCTGTGGTGGGTATGTGGGCCTGCCGGCCACTCCAAGCAACAGCCTAGTGGACCAAACTCTCACAAGTCAAGCCTGGCCCTCGGGCCGGGCTTGGGGAGAAGAACAACTCCCAGAACCCCATCAACCAGGTTCTATTTCGCCTATCTTTCTGGGTGCCATCCCTGGTCGTGTGACAAAGTGAATTTGTGACAGTTTTTTGAGACTACTGTACAAAATTTGCTTGAGACTAGGCTAAGCATAAAACCAAAGAGCATAGAAGGTTCCACATCCTCTATTATTTATATTGCACAGATATCTACAGAAATACTCAACACCCTCCTATGGTGATCAGCAATCGGATCAAAGCTTTGAAAATTGTACATATATGACCCAGTATACAATGCTATCTGACAGTGGCAAACATTTTATTGGAAAGTCAATGTGTTGTTCAACTTAAGCTGAAACCCAATAAAAAATTATCCAAACTGGTCTATTAACAAGCTGAATAAAAAAATATAATTAAAAATGGAATTCAGCATGTAAATCAATTCCAGTTGGAGTAATTTTTTATTAGGTTTCAGCTTATTTAGGGTGAACAACAAATTGACTGTTTCCAATAAAATAGGTTGGTGTGTGGATGGGTGTCATGTTTGCCACTGTTCAGCTTGTGACCAAAGCATCGTCTAATAATGTCAAAATATATATGTAACTGGTATTAGCCATGATAGTATTACAGAAGAGCCTGAGTGTGATGATAAAGACTGTACAATGTTCAAATATCAGTGAAGCAATGCTGTTCACAGATGTTCACATCGTTCAAGGAACGATGTTGAAAAAGTAGTTGATTGAAAAAGTGCATACAAGACTGCATAAAATTCAGCTGTAAAGATGCTAGTTTTGAGAGGCAGGCAGCACATGTAGGTTTGGTCAGTAAAGACAACAGAGTACCTACACAGCTGGCAGATTTAGACCCAACCGTGAAGAGGGCAATGGAGCTTCAGGGAGAAAGCAAGTGTTAAAGGCAATGGTGTTTCATAGCCATAGGAGGGGTAAAAGCCTTTGCCATGTCAGTCAAGGTGTTGCAAAATTTTGCAAGAGGGACCCTCCATGGAGGCCAAGATGACATGGAGATATATTGCTAACATGAACTGAAAGGGAAGCTTGCAAGTGAGACATCCATACAGAAAAAGGTGGTGAAATGGAAGAGCCCATATGAGGGGTAACAGTCAAAGCACGGCACAAGCGAGAGTGAGGATGTTATAGGGACTGCACAAGGTAGTGAAGGCTGTAACTACCAGGACGCTACTGTTGAGACACGACTCCGGTACCAGCATACAAGCTCACGGTATGGACAAAATGAAAGGCACCAGAGCTGAGGAGTAACCCAGTATGGTGCAGAGGTTCAAGACGATGAGTTGAAGGAGAGGCAGAGGTGTAGGCGGGACTATGGCGAGTTTAGACAGTTCCCTTGCGCTAGCCATAAATAAGTACCTGGAAGTAGGTTAGTTATTGGCTAAGGGGGGAGTGATAAACTTAACATGCCCTCCTGTCTATGACAATGGGATACCAATATACAATACATTGGTATATGGACATTTTATTAATTTATGATATTCTATGGTTAGTAAGTGATACATGTCACTGTACATGTATGGTACCAAAGACGTTAAAACCTACCTAACCAAACTTTCCTATTCTTACATAAGATTATCCCAAAAATAACCAAACGAGTTATAATACATAGAACACGAGCTTTGTTAGAACCCTTATACATGATGACCAAAACCCGTAGCAGCAGCAACCACATATTCACAGCCTCCAGCTTGAACCAGATAAGCACCAGTCTTGCCAGTAACAGCATGGGTGACCACATGGACAGCGGGACAGCGTAGCTCCTTACTTAATTGAACAGGGTTCTTGTCCCCTACAATGGTAAAAAGAGAAGCGGTTATACACGAAAACCACACTTTACCAACCACCCGTCTTGAAGTTGGTATACCAACACCCCACCAGCAGGGACATGCTCCTGACTATCACAGCACAGGTGGCCAGGCTCAACGCTCCACTGTTTAAAATTAATAATTAACACGTGGCAAGATAGATAGCTGATGCATTAATGGCACCAAAGTGGCCGTGTTAGCTACACACCTCATACGCAGGATAATAACGAGTGGTGAATAACGTGAAGAGGAGAGGCATAGGGTGTCTGCCGACCACGATCAGAGTTGCTCTCCAAAATGTTATAATGCGAGACAATCTGTGTGTGTGGAGTATATGTGGTCATAGCAAATTGGTGCTTCGGGGCCACAATGAGTGCAAGGAAAGGATTTACTTGTATTTACACACGGATGACTATAATATTTACCGATTAAGATGATGGAGGGTGAGGGCAGCACCGCAACCACTAGGGTAACTCTGTGAAAGGAAGAGTGCTGGAACTGTTTAGACCGACCACAACTCTACCCAACCCGCCACACTCTTATAAAATATATTACAAAATTTATAACCCTGCCTAAACCTACATTACTTTGCTCGTATTATAAAATACAGATATACTGTGTAATGTATTTATTAACTTGTGTGACGTTAGCCTTGAGTAGAGCAATAACTGGTGCATAATAATGAAGCTTTGTGTAAAGTCGACCGCTACCTGGTAAAATATGCGTCTTTGGGTCCATTGTTGTCACATATTGCTGTAGTCACATTGTCACTAAATCTCCTGAATAAAACCACCATTAAAAATTGCTATTGGTTACCCCTTCTTTAAATTATTCTCAGAATGTGTAATATTCGGCAGGTCGCGGACTGGCTGCACTCAGAGGACAAAATAGTATTGGAACGTGAAGATTTGTTTGTTATCGAGAGAAGAAAGGGACAAAACAAAAGCGTTTGGTGATTTCTCGCTCTTTGTTTTTGGTGAGAAATGACGTGTAGAGGGCAAGAGGGTGACGGCCGCCAGGTGTAAGACTGCTGGTGGCAACAGTGACGGTGTTGGGACTGTCTCAAGTGAAAATATTGATGGTGTGTGACTGAGTGGAGGTCTTTTGTCTTGGTGATCAGCTGTGTGATGACCGAGCTGAGAGGCCTGTGACCCTGTCGCTGGCACATTCCCCCCTTCTCTCTGACCACCCCGGGCTCGGGATCTTACTCCTCACGCGTCTAACAACCCACACTACAAACAAACCACATTTCTAAGAATATCCGCCATTAGAACCTACAAAAGTATGGTATGCATATTAAGGCCTCGAAGCTTAAGACTGGAGTTAAGGTAATCTAGAGTTCTCTTGGATATTTAACTGTGAAACAAACCATTCGGAGTATCGTTAGGTCTTGATAGTTTTATTAAAATTTATTGTGGAAATGAACTAGTTCTTGGGAAAGCACTACAAAGCTGTGGTTGTAGGGGTTGAGTAATAAATTCCTCAGTAAGTCACTTCCATTAAATGGTGGATTACACTGCTACTGAGGTGGCAGTCCTAGAACTAAATGCCTTGAGCACAACCACTTATTTAGATAAAGAATAAAATCAAGTGTTTTGATGAGAAAAATTGCAGTGGGATGTCAGCCACCTGCAACCTGCTAAGCTATGGTAAAGTTACTTTGTCTGGTAAGTTAGTTACTGCTATTCCAAATGGAATTCTTGTTTTAAACGTTATGTTATTGGAAAAATCTATGGTATGAATTACAAGAAAAATGCTGCAAGCAACAGCTTGTTGGATCAAGCTCTTACAAGTCAATCCTGGCCCTGGGCCGGGCTTGAGGAGTAGAAGAACTCCCAGAACCCCATCCATCATATATACAGCAGATATATATGACCTATGCAATAAAATCAGAATCTATTCATTAAATGCAATACCAATACTGTATTACTCAAAATAAGTCAGTGGATGCAGTTATGTCAAGCACAAATATATCCAGCCTCAGCAGTGCAATCCTGTCAAGGCACCACTGCTGCATATCACCCATTTTTAATTGTTTAATCAGTATAAACAGCTTTAGTATATTGTAATAATCTTTGGCATCAAGAGGAATTTAGTCAAATAATGTTAAACCTGTAGAAATACTGTATTCATATATAGTACATTATAATCCAGTCGTGTACTTTTTAGTCATGTCTTCATTTTTGTCCTCACAAGCCTGGAGCATGCTTAAAAGGATTATCACTTCACAGGGTGTACAATATGTTGTTTTGTGTGTGTAGTTACAGGACGAGAGCCACGCTTGTGGTGTCCTGTCATCTTAGTTCTCTTTGTCATATGAAACTACTGATGATTTTGGCATCCACCCTTGTCATTTAACGTGTTTCAACCGTCTATCACTGTTTGCAAAAAGAGGTCTCTAATGTTTTTGGGCATTTTTTTTTCTTAGCTTGAATTTGTGATCTCTTAAAGTTGCAGGTTTAAAAAATTCATCCTTGTCTATTTTGTCAATTCCCATTGCTATTTTGTACATAGTGATCATTTTACCCATTTTTCCTTCTTTCTTGTAGCCTTGGCTTGTTTAATGTCATCACTTCCTCATACTTCATGTTCTTAAGTTCTGGGAGCCATTTAGTAGCATGTTTGCACCTTTTCTGATTTGTTTGTGCTTCTTCAGATATAGACATCACACCACTGCTGCATATTACAATTTTAATCTCGCATAATGCATGAACAGTTTTTTAGTGTTTCTCCATCCATATACAGTATTTAAAATGCAATTCTGAAATTTGCTTAATGTATAAGAAACTTAAATATGAGCTGTTCTGTCCTATTCCACATTCCATTATGTGACATTTATTTATATTTAATTCCATCTGCCATGTGTTACTCCTTTCACTTATTTTGTCTAGGTTATTTTGGAGGGCAATATAGTCATCCAAGGCTCCGACTCCCTAGCAATTTTGCATTATCTTCCAATTTTTTAATGTAACTGTATTCTCTCTCTCTGCCAGATCTTTTATATAGATAATAAGCATTGCTGGTGCAAGAACTGAACATTGAGGTACTGCACTAGTGAAATTTCTCCAGTCAAATATATTTCCTATGATCACTGCTTGCATTTGTTTGTAAAAAAAAAAAAGATCATCCAATTTAGACATCTGCCTGTCACTCCTCCAATGTGTTCTATATTTCAGGAGTGTCTCATATGTAGAATGCTATCAAAGGCTTTTTCTCTAAGTCCAGGTACATACATGTATATGAAATTAATCCAACCTTCACTTTCTTGCAATATTTGTGTAGCTTTATCATAAACATTAAGTAAAGATGTTGCAGAAGCCTTTCATGCTTGAAATCCAAACTCTTATCATTATGTCAATACTTTCCAGGTTCTGTGTCCATTTGATTAAACAAAAATTCTAGTGGTATTGTTGCTACACTTGTTAATGAGAAAATCCACTGGGACTGTGAGGCAACCTGAACATGCGACCAAGACATTACCAGCCACATACTCTACCACTGTATCACCAAGTCAGTGGTTGTACTGTGGGATAGTATGTGGTTGGTAATACCTTGGTCGTGGGTTCGCATCGCCACAGCCCCAGTGGATTTTCTCATTGATGTACAGTATATCACGTTAATGTGATTATCTGTTTATACTTGTTAATGATACTGGTGTATAGTTTATTGGGTCTTCCCAGTTTGCACTCTTATTGATTGGAACTATGTTCGCTTTTTTCTATGTCAACTAGACTCCTTGTTTGTAAGATTGTAAGATAGTATGTAATGGGATCTTTAATCTCCCATGCACATTTCCTTATTACCCAAGGTGAGATTTCATCTGGTCCAACTGTTTTATTTCTGCCTAGCTCCCTAAGTAGTTTTTCTACTTCTTCTCTAGTCATTTCTATATACAGTACACTACTCTTAATTTATGCTCAAAAGTTGATATTGAAGCTTGTTTATTGAAATTCATCCTGCATGAACACACCTTATTACTGGTTGTTCAGTGTTTCACATCTCATTTTCAGTCTCATTGAATTGATCTCCCATTTGTAACTTTTGGATTTTGTCTTTCACTGGCAATTTTGTTTGTATGAATTTGTAGAATAGATTGTGAACTTTTGTTTTACATTTGTCTACTATTCCATTCTTAGAGTTTCTTTGCCTCTTTATCTCTCTTCTCACTGCTGTGCAGTTGTTTCTTGCTTGTTTGTAGTACTGTACTGGTATATTTGTATGTTTGGCTCTTCCAATATTAATTAATTTTTTTATCTTGTTCTCTGGCATGCAGTTTTTATTAAACCAGTCTTGTTTTCTATATTTTCTTCACTGGTTTGATATAAATGTATGGGGTGTCTTTCTCATATATCTCATAAAATTTGAATAAAACTCAGTTATTTTCTTAACAAACTTTTCCAGTCAGTGCCAATAAAAAATTCTCTTTCTCGAGAGAAAAGACTCCCATATCAACAATTGTGCTTTATCTCTACTTTTTCATTACCTTATTCATGTTCATTATAAGACCCTCTCTTTTGTCTATTTCTTCTTTGTCCACATACTGTTTGCTGGTGGATGGTAGGCACCAGCAAACAGTAAACAGCTTTTCAGCTCCCTTCAGCTGAAGGGAGCTGAAAAGGGATTCAGCTTTTAATTGATCTCTCGGTAGTTTGGGCCAACCAGTTAGCAGTACCTAGCCTGAGCTTTCCTTAGCAGTCAGCCTAAGGGCCCTGGAAAACCCCAATGGGACTCATTGGTCCAATGGATGCGTCCTCTGGGTCCTATCTCACTTTGTGCGAGGTCGAAGGTTGCTCTGTCCCCTTGTCTCAGGGTGACATTCACTGATTTTGCCTCCATCATGCTGCCTATTGGCTCGGTGACATTTTCGACCCAGAGTCCTGCAAGTGGTGTTCCTTGCTGGTTCTCCAATTCACCCAGTTCACCGATTCTGATACTAGGGTTATCTTGAGATGATTTCGGGGCTTAGTGCCCCCGCAGCCGGTCCTTGACCAGGCCTCCACCCCCCAGGAAGCAGCCCGTAACAGCTGACTAACTCCCAGGTACCTATTTACTGCTAGGTAACATGGGCATCAGGGTGAAAGAAACTCTGCCCATTGTTTCTCGCCGGCGCCCGGGATCAAGCGTCCAATGTTCTGTTCGCTCAGCCACCGGCTCTGCATTCTGCCTGCAGGGTGCAGGTAGAATCGGCGTTGCACGCATGGTTTCGGTTGCTGCAACGTGCTAGGTTGGTTGCCTTTCCGAATGCCCTATGGCTGCACCGCTTTGGTTATAGGGACTCTGATGTTAGTCACTTCGACTTTGGTTTCATCCGGGGGGCCCCCCCCCCCCTCGTCCTTCCTCTGCTGTGGTTTGTCCTGCTCTCCCACCCCCCTTCCCCCCTTCCCCTGCTGCCGGCTCCCAAACATCTGAGGGTTTCACACTGAATGACCAAGTAATAAGATTACACAAGAGTGGAGGAGAGCATGCAGGACATGAGAGACTGGCAAGTACAGTATTGAGATAGTTTGGAGAACCCGATACCTGATATTATCTTCCTAGGTGACTTCAACTTGCCTAGTCTCAGATGGAGAATAGCAAACAATAATATTATACCAGAATATCTATCGGGACTTAACCAACCACAGATTAGAGAACTACTTGGATTCTGTGACAAATTTTCACTCAACCAGCAGATATCAAAGCCAACGAGAAATGAAAATGTTCTAGATCTGGTCTTTATGAACAATGAAGACATTATCAGGGACATTATGATATCAGATACCACATACTCAGATTACAAGCTCATTGAAGTGCAAATGACCATCAATACTCAGAATAGACCTAAAACGTTGATCAAGCGAGAAGGGTTATTCAGTAAATTCAATTTCAATAATAAAAGGATAGACTGGGAAAAAATAAACAGGGAAATTACAAACATTCCATGGGAAACTGTTCTAAGTAATACAAGTCCTACAGAAGGAATTGAAAAACTGACTTCGGAAGCGTACGAAGTCTGTCTGAAACATGTTCCTTTGAGGAAAGCCAGAAAGAGATCCAACGTAGAAAGAGAACGCAGACGACACTACAAAAGATGGAAAAAAATAACGGAAATGCTTAACACTTTCGCACTCCAATGATGCCTATTAGCGGCATCCGTTTTTCTCCTGTACCATCTCGGATGACGACGTCCAGTCATCCATTAAAATGTCTGTTAAAAAATTTAATTTTATCTGATCAATCTGGGAGTGGTTTCAAAATGAGCGTCTTTAGATTGCACACAATTTGATACCAAAATGAAAGACGTAACATGAAAATTGATGTCAGAACACTGGAAAGATATAAACAATTT